TATATATATATATATCCCAAAATCTTTAATCACGTAACCTTATAACTAAGTACGGAGATTATAATAATACCATCATGGGGCAGTCACATGATTTTTCAGTCATTTAAGCATTTTCTCCTTTTCATGTTATTAGATAGTAGTTATATCCTTACGTTTTATGATTTATTATTATGATTGAATTAAAGTATGAAATAACCCTATTTTTTTACTGAGGGTGCAGTAAATTAATACCCTAAAAAAAGTAAAAAAAAGAACGAAAATTTGAACTTATTGGATCATTCTACTCCAATCACTCTTTTTTATCAGATGGGATCATTCAAGTGCCGTTTTCATGGGCCCTATTTTTTAGCGTCTAGCGCGGATTCTATATTACGTCTTGATCTTGTGTGACAGAAAATTAGAAAAAACAAGTGCTGTTTATTAATCATACGGGCATAAACGTCTAATTTTTAAACCTGAAAGAGTTGTACTTGTTCATTTTTGGCGTCTTGTTAGTCTTGTAGCCGAAAATTAAACACATTCGACTAAATAATTTTGTCCACAAAAATTGCCACTATAGACTACCTTACCAACAGTTGTTATTTATCATCTGGGTGACTGGAACGCTGAACACACTGGTATTCATGAAAATCGACCTTAAGTACTTAGCGTATATGTGAATCATATATATTATGTGCAGTGTTTTTCCAATTTAAAAGGACACGTAGGACCAGTTTTTGTAAACAATCACAATTTGTGTACTTATACACTGTTACAGGACATCTGAGTGAGACAACAGCTTCAATTTCGGTTCATCGTAAAGGTGATAAAAATGATGATCAAAAATTGAAATATGAAGCACACGGTCTTATGGTGTAATGGTTAGCACTCTGGACTTTGAATCCAGCGATCCGAGTTCAAATCTCGGTAAGACCTACTTATACTGTAAGTCTTTTTGCCCTTTTGTGACCTCACGTACGCCAAAACTCTTTATTTAGTCGCACGAAAGAGCCGATACCCGACACACAGCGTGATTCAGTCGCGAAGGCATTACGATTTTTCGTGATTTTATTAGTGCTTTTGTTGTGTACGTTCCGTTTTAACCTAGAATTTTTTTATTTTGCAGTTTAATATTTTTTGTCGTGTACCCATGTATTTTTGACAATGAATGAGGGTAAAGATAACAAAATCGTCAGTAGTGTTGACGGGTGTGCAGAGATGGAGAAAGAGAAAAGTATGCCTAATACTGTTGCATGTTGCATGCAAAAAACAGCTAATGATGGAGGTTCCAGTGCTTGTTGCTCTGAAATGATAAATGATAAAAACGAAGCAACGACCAGTAGTAGTGATCAACAAATGACAGATTATGATCGGACAGTGACTGCTTGTAGTACCAAAGTCAGTGCTATAAGTCTGAGTAGTTCTGAAGCTGTGGCTGAGTGTAGTAAGCCTGTGGAAAAAAAAGATGAAGAACAAGCGGTAGTTGTAAAGGCAAAGCCCATTAGAAAAATTGTCAAGGGTCCAGTTAGGCTTAATAAAATACCACAGGAAATATTGGATGATCCTAATATTAATGAAGCCATCAAGTGCCTTCCAGAAAATTATAACTTTGAGATTCATAAAACTATCTGGAGAATAAGGGAGAGTAAAGCAAAAAGAGTCGCTCTGCAGATGCCAGATGGATTAACAATGTTTGCTTGTAGAATAAGTGATATAATTGAGGAATTTACCGATGCTGATACTGTCATAATGGCTGACGTTACTTATGGTGAGATTAATTTCTTACCTCTGATATTTTTGAAAAAAAAAAAAAAAAAAATTTATTTTTTAAGATCCCAAATTAAGGCTTATTTCGCTTTATCTCTCTTGTTTACGAAGATACGGCCGTTTTAAGTTTTGGCGATCTTTAAAAACCTGGATCTCAGATTTTGAGCGTTATCACGAGTTAGTGTATATCTGCTATGATGTTCCTGACTGCCTAGACTTTTAAATACTCTGATTTAATATCTTCTTGTGCAGTTGCAAGAGCCTAAATAAAAAAAAAAAAAAAAAATTCTTAATTTCGATGATCCCAAATTAAGCCTTATTTCGCTTTATCTTCATTATTAACGAAGATACGGCCGTTTTAAGTTTTTTCGATCTTCAATAACTAAAATCTCAGATTCTGAGCGTTNTTAAATTAAGCCTTATTTCGCTTTATCTCCATTATTAACGAAGATACGGCCGTTTTAAGTTTTTGCGATCTTCAATAACTAAAATCTCAGATTCTGAGCGTTTTCACGGGTCAGTCTTTATCTGCTACGATGTTCCAGACTGCCTTGACTTTTAAATACTTTGATTTAATATCTTTCTATGTAGTTGCAAGAGCCTCAATCCAAAAAAAAGAAATTTTGTAATATTGATGATCCCAAATTAAGCCTTATATTGCTCTATCTTAATTATTAACGAAGATACGGCCGTTTTAAGTTTTGGCGATCTTCAAAAACTAAAATCTCAGATTTTGAGCGTTTTCACGGGTCAGTCTACATCTGCCAAGATGTTTCTGACTGCCTAGACTTTCAAATACTCTGATTCAATATCTTTCTGTGTAGTTGCAAGAGACTTAATCCAAAAAAAATAAAAAAAATTTTTTAATCATGATGATCCTAAATTGAGGCTTAATTCGCTCTATCTTTATTATTTACAAAGTACGGCTGTTTTGAGTATCGGCCATTTTTAAAAACCAAAATCCTAGTTTTAAAGTGTTTTTACGGGTTTGAGTCCATTTGCTTTGATGTTCTAGACTACCTGCTATTTTGTTTTTTACGATTTTATTATTTTTGAATAGTTTCTAACGGCCTAAATAAAGAAAAAAAAAAAAATTAATTTTAATGATACCGAATTTAGGCTTATTTCGCTCTATCTCTATTATTTACGGAGATACGGCCGTTTAAAGTTTTGGCGATCTTTAAAAACCTAAATCTCAGATTTTTAGCGTTATCACGGGTTAGTGTATATCTGCTATGATGTTTTAGACTACCTCGACTTTTAAATACTTTGATTTAATATCTTTTTGTGCAGTTGCAAGAGCCTGAATCGAATAAAATAATAAAAATTTCTTAATTTTGATGATCCTAAATTAAGCCTTATTTCGCTCTATCTCTATTATTTACGGGGATATGGCCGTTTTAAGTTTTGGCGATCTTTAAAAACCTAAATCTCAGATTTTGAGCGTTATTACGGGTCAGTCTATATCTGCTTTGATGTTTTGGACTGCCTAGACTTCTGAATACTTTGATTTAATATCTTTTTGTGTAGTTGCAAGAGCCTAAATCCAAAAAAAAAAAAAAAAATTTTTTA